CAGCCAATGTTGACGGAGAACCGCCGCTGCTGGGCGACATCCTCGCAGAGTCGTCCCTTGAGCCGCCCCTTGCAAGCCGCATGCCTTAGACACTGTAGCGCGCAAACGGCCTGGACTTGGGTCTGCACTGGGACCGCTTAGCTCGGATGCCGGTAAAAAGGTGTGTAAAAAAAAAATCCATCCCCGGGCTCCGTGCGTGCATGACCCGGCGCCTGAAAGTGAAAACGACGATGTGTTCAATACACACGACTTGCACGTGCAACGTTCTATTTGGCGGAGTGTGTTGTCAACAGGTTGAATGTTGACGGGATTTACGGCGACAGCAAGCAGAATCAAGCTCAAAAACAGTGCGTGTCGGACAGGTCTTACTGTCAATGGTGTGGTGCCTCGGTTGTTCGTTGAAACATGCGTTGCGGGTTCCCGTTGTCCGGACGCCGTCGCTGCGAAGCCGAAATTGGGCATCAGCATAATGATTTGTCGACCTGATTTTGCAAACATGAATGTGTTGGCTGGAACCTAGGATCCGAAAGCTTCAAGGCGCCTTCGTTTGTTGACACCTTTTTTTTTGCTGAGAAGTTCCAACTTTAGCCCATCCTGCCGTGGGCTACCCTTGCTACGCTGCATGCAAAGAGGCAGGAAGGGTGGCCGCGTCCGCCAGCGAGCCTGCGCAAATCCTCCAAACCTGGTCCGGCCAGCCCAATGCCCACCGCTGAGCCTGCTGCCGCCCCACGACGCAAACCCGGCACAATATTCAATACGACAATCGATCTGGCTCAACGTGTTCAGGTCCAGTGCGGCACGGAAAGCGTGCCATCGGCGTGGGACGCTGTGCCTGCGCCGCTGGGAGGTGCGCGGTCGCCACGGCGGAATGACGTCAGGGCGAGAAGTAACAGTTTCCCCGCACCAATGCCATCTGATCTGCGTGGGCGCCAACGAGCGCTGGCTCACAAGGTGTAAATGCCAACAACTGCCAACTAAAATGGCAGCTTGCGATTGCGAGTCCGCCTATACTGTACGCAAGTGGAAGCAGCATGCAGTCGAAACAACGTTGGTTGCGAGTCCGCGACGTACGCTGGCTCTTCGGCGGCGGCCTCGTTGTTTGCCTCCGCACATGCCGTGGCTTAAGTCTCGAATTTTTGGGCGATCATAGCATCACCGAGCAGACTACGACGCAGTAAGGCTACAGAAATACACAGGCTTGCAGTAGCGGGCTGGATGCAACTTGGTGGATGGACCGTTGGACGAACATTGGTTCAATCTCATGGCAAGCACAGTATCTTGCAGCACCGGCAGCACAAGCACGCTATCGAATTGCACCGTCGCATCACTGTTTTCAGCACCAGCGGCGGATGCTGGATGCACTTACGGTCGACGGTCTTACTGATCATGCCGTCTATGGCGTTGGCAACCAACACGTCAAAAACGTGTGTGCACGAATCAATAAGATGTTCCTTGCAATGAAGCTGGATGACGGTGGCGATGGTGCGTAAAGCAAGAACTGCAACCACTCCACAGCATCAATAACAACTACCACAAATCTTCACAACGACGATAGGCAAAAAACATTGTCCGACGTTGATGAGAAGATGAAAACTCCTGTGTGGAGGTGGTTCTAGGCAGCACACACATTCAAATCTACAAAGAGACAAACGGGAATTTCTCCATTGTGCGAACATTTGAAAAGACATTTTGTTTATTTTCTCGTTTCCTGCACATGAGACGACAAATAATCTTCGTGAAAATTAAGTAAAAGAAGAAAAACAAAACAACCTGCGGAGCGGAATTGGATCAATTGACTCGAAAACTACAGCCGCTGCGCTAGCACCCCGTAGGCGCTTTTAGGTATCGGTAGTTTCCGACGGTGGGACACGTTGTGCGGACGTAGAAAGGTGCGGAAAAAAGTTCTATACAATATTTCGCTAGAATACACATATGGCTCTGGACAACATGCGGTGCAACCAGGCGGTTGTGCCAGCTCTGCGCGAAATTTTCCATAGCCTTGAGCAGCATGAGCAGCGACACGGTTGCATGCAAGAGACTTGGATCTTGTTGCCCACATTGCTGCTGTGGAACACATCGGATCGAAAGCCGTGCTCTTTCCAATCCAAGCATGCCCCTGAGTTCGTGCCCCACTGTCCGGCACGAAACCGAAATCGAACATCGTGATTCTCCCAGTGAGTGTACGGAGGGTCAAGTCTCCAAAGCACTGGTTCCTTCAGCTGCGCATCTCTTCGTCACGGCGCTCCGAACCGCAAGGCATCGCGCAACGCCCGGACCTTGAGGCATGACAAATGAGCATTGGCGTGTCCTGTTTGATGATGTCGAGCATAGAGAACTCTTGCAGGCCACCGGCCGCTTAGTCGCCTTGCCGATAGGGGTGTTAAAGCCCTCGTCGTCGGAGACGTTCTGCGGAGACTTATCAGTGACGAATCAGCAATCAAGGTGATTGCGCGAACGATGCAAGCGTTCAGTGGACCCCTGTGCTACCATCCTTTGCGTCGATGCCGCTAGTGCCTACGACCAACGACCATGTATCGCTGCAGCAATGCTCGGGGCGCTGCACTGCTTCCGTTCGTCAGGCAGGTTTATGCAACTCAAAGTGTACACGTGGGTCGGTGCCACGGGCGTGACCAGGACATCTAGCGAGAGCGGAGACGGTGATCCTGAATGCCCGGACTTTGTTATTTTGCCAACCATGAGCCTCTGCGCACGTTCGTTTGGCGAAAATTTGGGGGTCGTTGGGCACCTGAAACCGCCGACGTCGTCCGCTTGCTTGCTCGTGCGCACCCTGCAAGCATGGCTGTCCTCCAGCGGCATCAGTGCTTGGCTGCCCACCATGCACCAGCGCCTCTCTGTTGCACCTCTCCTTCGACGACGAGCGCACTGGTAGCTTCTCATGCCGGGCCGTGACGCTCCGTTTGCGTGGAGGGGGCGATGTCTTTTGTCGGCAACCGTAGGGCGCTGCTGCACTGGGACCCCATGAATGGGCAGTCCGGAAATAGGTGCTAGAAAAACATGAAGTTTCCACTATGAATTAACTTCCGCGTGCATGCGTTTCCAGGTGCATGCCTATCAATTCGGCATGGCCAGATGCAGTCGGATCAAGCAACATGTGCACACAGCTTTCAATCCCGCGCCGCACACCATGTAGCGATGTTGTTGTAGCATGACACGCGCCATGGTGAGACAGTGTCATATAGCTAGCCCACCCTTGAGAAACCCGTTTTCGTGATGAAACGGGCACCACAACGGCACCTTGAGCCAGCGAGCATGAACGAGCAATTTGCACTGGCAGCCAGCACATCAACAGTTTAATAAATTTTGTGCAATCCTGTCTGGTCACCATGAGTGCCGTCAAGCTCTCGGTTAGCATGTTTCGATTGATCATGCAGCTTCACATTTCCAGCAGTTGTGCTGGATCATGCTCGACCTTGCAAGCTTCCAGTCTCATAGCAATGCTCAAAGCTGTGCTCAGTCGTGAATTGGCAGCTTCGAGGCCGTGCGCGAACGGAATCGACAAGTGAGCGGGGCATCGAACTACAAACGGGCGGTCTCTCAGCTGGAAATGCTGGCTTGAACTAGATGTCAAGCCTACGCACGTTGAACAGCCGTTGAATTGCTGTTGTGGCCATTGTCGTGCTTTTTTCTGCAGGCTCCCATATTCCACAGGGAGGCCTGCTGCTGGATTGTTCATTGCAAGCCTCGTGCTTTGGATGAGTTATGTTACGTACCATCGCTGTCCAGCACAGGACCACCGGATTTACATGTTGATATTGGCCTGGCACTGATTTCAGATTGCATGAGCGATGAGCATTGCTCCCTTGCTTGAGGCATTGGATTATGCCAATAGCAAGCAACGTTTGCCAAGCGTGAATGATGCCAAGCACATGGAGGAACTGGTCCCGAGCTCAGTGAAACAGCAAGCACTAGATGCTAGCACCAGATGCTCATTGATTGGACAGTTGGCCTTGAGCCATGGTGCTCCTTCAGCCAGGCGAAACAATGCGGAGTGCACGAGGTTTGAGGCTAAGCTGAAAGAATAAACCCCAGAGGCTGAGACAGCATCCCGCATGTTTCCGTGCATCATGGAGCATACTTGATAAGGTCCTCACGTTGTACAACACCCAATGCACCAAAGATGCAGTGCGACGTGCCATCCGCAGTGCAGGGTGCATCCTGCGAGTATCCTGCGTTTTGTATTCAGCGCGTATGAGGTGGACATGCTGCTGTGTGCACGTCGTGACTGTTGCTTGCTGTTTGGGCTCGTGCAGCCGGCGGGGGTCTCCGCCCAAACGGGATGGGAGTGGACCGCGTCCAACAGGCCGCCCGCATGAGATCGCATGAGCCTGCATGGTGGTATGCTGGGCTACTAAGCGGATAGGATGGCACTTGCATTCCTTCGTGCAAATCATGCCAGGCTGACGACGGAAGCCTTTTCCAGCCATCGGTTTCCAGAGAGCGATCTGACGGATTGAAATGGCTGGCCCGGTGTTTGTTTCCACAAGCCCGAGGCAAATCTAATTACCAAACCCGCGTCAACATTGATTCGGCAGCAGATTCCATGGAGGCCTGGCGCTGTGTGTTCATGGATTTTGCAGTCTTATGTATCGGTGCGCGTAGGCTTTCGCACGCAATTCCGGGTTACACCAAAATGTATGTATTTGGCGTGGTATGTGCATTTCTTGCACGTAGAGGCAAACGAAGCATGCTTCGGATTCGGATGTGGCAGGCTTGGGATCTACCTACCTTGCCGGCGGGTGGAACAGCCGGGCAGCAAGTTCACGAAGCCGCATCGCAACCCACGAGAGCAGAGAAGCCCTCGTCACCAAGCAGCATAGTCCTGCTTTCGCTTTCGCCATTGGCCAGCGCCTTCATTCAATCGTGCATAATGCCCACGACCAAATATTGGGTTCCAGTCACCATCAGTGAGTGACTGCAGACGGTGCCGCGACTCATCATGCATGTGCGTCATTGGGCCGAGGACCCGTTCTCCTTCATCAGCTCAACCAGCGGATGCTGCTCCTGGACAGTAGTCTAGCCCGACTCGGCAGCTTTTCGCCGAAATAAAGTTCTGCTAGAAAAGACATGGCTTTCTCTAAGGACACCAGCAGACGCAGGCAGACAGTGGATCAAGCTCTTGCGGAGCAGGGCTCGCAGCCACAGCAGCTGCCCGCAGAGTTGCTGGACGAGCTTGTGCCCACTTCAAACGTGGGGGAACTGCTCCCTCCTCTGCCTGCTCACGGGCATCAACGGCAGACTCCGGAGCAAGTTATAGAAAACGAGGCGCCGAAAGAAAAACGATTGGAGGCGTCGGTCATGCTTCTGTCTTGTTCCATAGGAGTTTTTGGTAGAAATTCATGTACTGGTGCAGGACAACCTCGTGCTCCGCAAAAGGCCTGCATCTTTCCGGCGTGCCTTGACATCTACTTCTTCCTCCAGGCGTTGTTTTGTTTCCGGATGCTTATGTAACACCAAGGGATGCTGTGTGACGTCTCGTTTCGGCAGGCCGACGACGGCAGGTGAAGAGCACCGCACTCAGTTTATGTTGGGGACCACCGATCAATTCAGCAGGCAGACTTTCTCGCGACCCATCCTGGAATCCTACCAGGTCAGCTGCTACGCAGGGTTCCCGCATATCAGGGAAATCGTCCTGGCGTTCGCAGTGGACTCCTGGGCAGGCAGGACAGCTTGCAAGTCTTGGGAGTTTTCGGTTTTGCAATCAAGTCTGTGAGGTCAAAAGGTTTCAACCGTTCGTGCTACCGGGGTTCGCCGGCCATGCAGGTCTCAAGTACGACAAGTTCTGAGATGAGAGATCAACCGCCGCCGCCGCCGCAGAGCGACCACAGAACTCTGAGTGGGCAGAGCGTGCCTTTGTTTGGTTATGGTTCACGGTTTCTTGTTGTGTGATGGAACGGTCGCAAGGATATAGCGGTCACAAGCCATGCCGAGGCAACTGCATTCGACGACCCTGAATTTCTCGTAGCACTCAAGCGTGCAAGCGAGAGTTGCCAGCTTAACGTCTTGCTGTGGGATTTGGGTATGAACCTACACGCAAAGTTGTTCCTTGTAGTGCCGGGGCCTAGGTGATAACGCAAGATTTGCTGCACCTCCAGCACTTGGTCAGCGGAAATGGGGCAAGCAATTTGGGGTTCCTGATGAGGCCATCGAGCGAGAGCGAGAGTGTCACCATGCGTGCGAATCAGCCAACATTGTGGGATATAGGCGGCCGCCTCTGTAGCTACAGCTTCCTGTGCGGATCTGAGCTGGTGTTGTGACTTCATGCAGAGATGCTGGATTGCACTGTGTTGGCTGATGAATCTTATGGGGAGAATTGAGCGGTGGTTATCTCTTGGATGCTGTACATGTTTTTCAGCAGGTGCAGCAACGGATACCAACAGCCTCCAATAGCTTCGCTTTTGTCTTTTGCAGTCCGCAAAGCAAAGGACGACCTATGGGCACAACATGGCACAACCCTGTGGAAGTAGGGCCTTGACAGATTGTGTAGCCGTAGCAGCTCCATGCCGCCCAGGAAGCAAAGACTACTGTCACCGACAATGCATTCTCTGTGCTCGCAATGTTGACATATCGCACATCGGCATACTCTCTCACGCTCTCTCTGTCTGTGGCCGGCATGGAGCTGGGCTTTCACCGCTGAAAAGGCCCCAGTGGTAGGTAAAATTGTAGGGGTGGCACGTGAAGGCGTGGAGCTGGATCACAACAGCTGCCCAGCGAGGTTTCTCGATGGACATAGGAGCCGTGGTTGTCCGAGACACCCCGTACTGTAGCAAATACGCAACCAGAAACGTCCGACGAGGAAAACATTGTAGAGTCGCAAGGGTTCATGCCTCATTCTGGGTGCCTCTTAACTGGCCTTAAAAGCTCCGCGTTGCAGCGCTTACATGGCGGTCTCCATGATGAGCTCACGTTGCCTGCCAGAGGGAGGCAGGGACACCAAGGAACGTTTCGAGGAGGGTGGTTTGTGGTGATGTTTCAACGCACGAACCTCCCAAACATCAGTGTCATTGACGAGTTCCAAGCGAAATGGCTCCACCGGAAGCTGTGTGCACACTCACTTGGCCACTCGGGCACAGATGAAAGAAAGAGATCTGCGGTTCAGGTCTCTTGTGAGCCTCTTGTGACGGGGGGACTACAACCATCCAACCTCTTGACATGATCCTCTGTCGACAGCTGCCACCTGCTAAGTTTCACGCCGACGATGCCCGGCAACAGCAACGGGCATGTTCGTGCGGCACAGAGACAACGGACCGGCTGCGCGGATGATGTGGGCGGGGGGGACTCTTTCAAGGAGGGCGGCCCTTGTGGCCCGAAGCAAGCAAGCACGATCTGTGCTAAAGAAGAGGTCGTGCCCCGAGGCAATGAACTTTAAAGGCCGGTAGCAAGGAAGCAAGCAAGCAGGCAAGCACGCAAGCGCGAGCAAAGTGAAGGGACTCCTTACCTCCCAGTCGTAGATTGAAGGCCTGAATGGGGGCCCCCCACTTGGAAGCCGAAGAGTGCAGGGTTGGATAGGGGTGGTCTGGGAGCTTAGCTCTATTGACGTGGGCAACGCTAACGGCAGGAGAGGGGACGAACCGGCAAGACTTTTGGCAACAAGAACAGCCAGCCCCAATGCCGGACGACTCGTGGGACGACGCCAGAGCACCACACGGACACGAGGGGCAACGACTGCAGGGAGGCCCCGCCGCCACGCCCTCTCCACAAACCACGCCGAAAAGCGACCCACGGACCCGGTAGAACACCAACGACAACAAGGAGGTGGCCCGGCATCCTCATCCACGGAAGCACCTCGGTGCTGGCAGGCTGGCATGGGCAGCTAATCGCGACACAAGGTCATGCAGTCGCCACCAAGCTGACGTGCCGGCGCAGGCGAACTACGAGGCGAACGTGGGCATGTTTGGCAGACCCCTGAAAGCAAACGTGGGCCCAGAAGGGGAATAAACCAAGGAGATTCCAGAATGCGGCCACTACCCCAGACGTCGTAGACCCCCGTACGAAACCTGCTTGTCCTCCCATAGATCCCTGTGCATTTGCCTTATCCGAACTTGCTCTCGGGCTTCGAAGGCCTTCATACCGAAGAAATAGGGTCCCATCGACATTAGGTCTATGCAGCAATGCAGCATGTGGGGCTTGGCTTTGCTGGCCTTGGGCTTAAGGACAGCAGCCTTCAAGAGTCGCTTGGCTCGGCTTGGCTTGGCTTGGAACGGCTCAGTTAGGTTCGGCTTGGATTGGCTTGGCTTAACGGGTTCAAACCTTTGGCAACCAAAATTTCCATGTAGAGTTTAGGGTTTCGCAAAATCTCCCTTTATGGTTTAGGGTTTGGCAAACCAACATCTCCATTTAGGGTTTAGGGCTTGGCAACCAACTTTTTAGGGTGTAGCGTTTGGCTATCAACATCTGCCTTTTGTGGTCTTGGGCTTGGCAACCAACATGTCCTTGTAGGGTCTATTGTTTGGCAACCAACATTTGCATTTGAGGTGTTGGGTTTGGCCGCCCGCATTTGTGTTTAGGGTTTTGGATTTGGCAACCAATGTTTCCGTTTAGGGTTTACGGTTTGGCAGCCACATCTTCTTTTGGGGTCCTAGTGGTGTGCAGCCAACGTGTCGCTTTTATGGTTTAGGATTTGGCGACCAACATTTGCGTTTACGGCTTAGGGCTTGGAGTTAACTTTTTAGGGTGTAGTGTTTGGCTACCAACATCTGCCTTTGTGGTCTTGGACTTGGCAACCAACATGTCCTTGTAGGGTCTATTGTTTAGCAACCAGCATTTGCATTTGAGGTGTTGGGTTTGGCCGCCCGCATTTGTGTTTAGGGTTTTGGATCTGGCAAGCAATATTTCCTTTTAGGGTTTACGGTTTGACAGCCAGCATCTTCTTTTGGGGTCTAGCCAACATGTAGCTTTGATGGCCAACATCTCCATTTAGGGTTTAGGGCTTGGCAACTAACTTTTTAGGGTGTAGCGTTTGGCTATCAACATCTGCCTTTGTGGTCTTGGACTTGGCAACCAACATGTCCTTGTACGGTCTATTGTTTGCCAACCAACATTTGCACTTGAGGTGTTGGGTTTGGCCGCCCGCATTTGTGTTTAGGGTTTTTGGCAACCAGTATCTCCCAAAGGTGTTTTGACCAACATCTCCTTTTAGGATTCAAGCAACGGTGCGTTAGATCCGGCTGGATTTTGGTTTGATTTGGATTGGCTTGGCTGGGCTGGCTGCGCTGGGCTCGTCCTGGCTTGGCTCGTCTCGGCTTGACTCGGCTTGGCTTGTCGGGTTGCACTACCAAAATCTCCATGTCGGGTTTAGGGTTTGGCAGCCAACATCTCCGTTTCTCGAAGTTGGGATGTGCAACCAGCATATGTTTGTAAACAAGGCAGATTTCATTTTTCCACTTTGATCTCGTTTTTTTGGGGGCCTTCCGTTTTCGCCGCCGTTCCGTTTTCCGTCCTTATTTCGGTTTCGTTCGGGCTTCTGTCGTCGATTTCGCTGCTGTTCAGCTTTTCCATGCGGAACCCTCCATTCATTTCCGTTTTCGGTGGGTGCCGGGTTTGCTTTTCGGTTTGCTGTTCCGTTTTGGGTTGGGTGCCAGGCTTTCAGGTTTTGGTGGTTCCGTTCCGGGTTCCGTCTCTTAAGCTCCCAACCAAACGGAAGCCCAAACAAAAGTGCCCACGGGAATGGAAACCAGAACGGAGTCAACTTAGTAAGCGGAAGAGGCCACAAACAGAAGTGTAAACAGAAGGGGAACCCCAAACGGAACCACAAACGGATGTGTGAGCGGAAGGGGAAACCCCAAGCGGAGCCACAAACGGAAAGAAAGGAGGCGCCCGCGAATGGGCATTACAAGCAAAACCGTAACCCACATGTCCTTTTTCGGGTTTCGGGTTTGGCAAGCAACGTCTCCCCCATTTCGGGTTTTCGGTTTGGAAAACAACATGTCTGTTACATTTTAAAGTTTGGAACAACCAACCTTTTGCTTTTTTGCTTTCGGGTTTGGCAGCCAGGCCCCTCCCTCGTGGACTTCCTCCCCTCCTCCTGCCTCGGATCCTCCTCGGCCGCCACGGCCGCACCACCTTCGATTGCGTGCATACTCCGTGCATGGAGCGGGCTACCTGGTTGGTGTCGTTCGGGTTGTTCAGCCCCCGTAGTTGCCGCTGTCGGTGCGCAGTTACGTGCACATGCGATGTGGCACATGGCGCACCTCGTCGCCAGGAGCAGCCAGGAGCGGGGACGATCGACTGACATCATAACATGCATTCAGCTTGCAACTTTAGAATTTCCCACCCGCCCATCGTGTTGGGAAGATGCTTTGCCCGCATTCTGACTTGTAAAATCCAATGCTTCGGCCTGGATGGTGGCTCCCAAAACCAGCGGCGCTGGGGGCATCCGGCTTGTGTTTGCATGCAAACGTGGCATCGCAGCACAAACCCTCCCGTTCGCGGTTGCTCCGTGGACGAAACATCAAGCCGGCGGCGGTCGTATGGTGAGACCTGCGGGCAGAGGCACGTGCGAGATTGCCCGTGTAATTAATGTGTGTAGCAAACGATGCAAAAGAGCGCTGCCTGTGCAGCGCACGGCTGTGGCTGCCCTGTGCATCGGGGCGACACAAAACTCGAAGGCTTGCAGCAGACTGCCATGCCCAGCGGGGCGGCGCAGTAATGCGTGTGCCACGCAGTAAGCAGGGACTGCTCAATGTCATCGGACTAGTCGATAGAAGCACCTTCCAAGAGGAAGTTCCCCGAGCTGACGTCCATCCAAGCAATGTTGTCCTGATCATGAGCACTCATTCGGTGGTAGTGTGCTGCGCGGTGGGTGCTTTTGAACTTGCTGCAGCTACTTCGAGACGAGTAGCGTGTCGGAGAATCCCAGTTGGCACGCCACAATGTTCTGGTTTGTCCGGCAGGCTGCGCTACTTAGGCACCACCGATGCAAAAATCAATTCCCTTTCAGTCCCTTGCCTTGGCGGCTGCATAGAGGCGGTCGGGCATCCTCACCGTCGCGATGCAACAATACGCAGCCTCCCAGACATTGAAATATTCGTCGCCCAGTGATGTGGCAATACTACCGAAGTATGCATGCTGTCTAGCCCGCTCACTTCGAACATCTTTCTCCCCCAGTTTTGCTTTGTGCTTTGTACAATTTCTGAAGCAGCTTGAGACAGCGCAGATAGATACAACGTAAGTGCAGGACGAACCATATCGTGTTTTGCGAAGGTTTTTTCCTTCCGAGATTCACGATTGCTACTGCTGTGATTGTTTAGGTTGATAATGCTAGTGACTGTCAGGTTCCATTGCTTCCGCACATGTTTGCAAGTTTGTAAGGCAATTCAGCAGATCTCGAAACAGAAACGGCGCGCCATGAGCAGGCAGGTGGGTTGGCTCTGTCTGAATCAGAATTGTGTTTGCATAAGAATTTTCAACCACGAACCACCTGGAAGACGAAATGCCCGCTCTGCTGCTGAACCCTGCAGGCATCCATGCAGACCAACTTTTCTGACCTGGCTCTGTCTTTCGCAAACTTGGATTGAGCGCTGAAGGTTTCACCAGGGTCCTTGTAGAGCATGAACAGACAATGAACAACTTCACGGTATAGAACCGATGTGGCCTCTTATGCGGCCCAATGCAAGCGGGCCTCCGGCCCACGAATGCTGACAATTTCAGCAGTTTCACACCTAGACAGGCGTGCTAGACCCTGGCCTCGGATACAAAGCGACCGAGGGCATCGCTGCATCTCATGCTCGCTTGCATGCCATGAAATGAATGAGCCAGGTCCAGATGCGACGTCAATGACTACTTTGTCATGTATTTCGAGGGCCATGCTACCGCATTAAGCGATCCTGACCGGCAGGCCCGAGTCTTACCTAGATCCTGTTTCGAACCGATCACATTCAACTCTGTGCGGATGGGGACAGCATTTCTTACTAGCCTGGTAACAGCACGAACACCGCGGTACGCGCAGCTGGATACACGTAGCTTAAGAAGAGTTGCAAAACTCCCATGCAGCAGACACACTGTGAGGTTGAGGAAGCCTAAGCCCACCAGCCTTCGCACAAATGGACAAGTAGATCCAGAAGCTCTCGTGAACCATTTGCATACCGGGGCCGGGCAACTCGGGCATCTTGTGGGGCATCTACGGTTGCCTGACTAGTGGTACGTGCTGAGAGAATCCGGGGAGCCGACTTGGCTCACTGAAGGCTTGCCATTTTCAAGTTTGTTGTGCCGCAAAGCTGGTATTTTTTCTCGGAGAGGGCCCAAGCAAGGCCACCACCCTGCTGAGATGAGATGCTGAGGGCCTTCACGATGAGGCGCTTGTCCTTGTCGATCCAAACGGGAAGGCCAAGAGCCATGACTTCTCAATCGTGTCGTCATGTGCCGTGGTGAGTCTGTGGGTCGCCCGGCTGCACCGAGGCTTCACCAGCAACCTTGTTTCTGGAGGAGGAGTTCACCAGCCTTGCCCATTGGTTGCATCTGCGGCTTGCAGCAGCTGCAAGAAGCCCGAGGGATGCATCCGTTGGCTTGTGGGGGGAGGTGCTTGCAGGGATTCGGGCTGCTCGCTTGCTTGGTTTCCGTTGCTGAGTCGGTGCTCCAAGGTGCTGGAGAACTTCAAGCCACAGACACGGGTCATTGTCTTGACGGTGCGCGCCAAACCTCTTGTTTCTCGACGTTTGCAAGTGGATGTTGGTGCAATGCTGGTTCCAACGAGGATGCCGGACATGAAGTGGCGGTTCTGGACCTGTCGCAAGAGCGCTGGCTCACTTCTCAGCATGGCCGACATCTGCCTTGGTCATGCTCATCATTAGAAGGAAGGTTAAGTTCCACCGCTCTGGAAGTGCTGTCAACAGCCTAATAAATGGTGCAATAGCTGACGCCTGCCCACTTGCTTCTTCGGCTGCTGGCTCAAGCTTACTCGATTGCTTCCCTGAAGCCCCGGTGCGAGTGCGCAGCCAGAGGCAGGAACGGTTTGGCTTGCAATGCTGGAAGCCACATCGGTTCATCGCTGCTGGACCCGCCCACAACCACAGGTGAAGTTGCATGGAGGTCTGATTCCCGGCTTGGACCATCTTGCCTCCCATGCGTTCGCAAGCTAGCAGCTAACACACGGATCCGAAGCTTTATTGATGGGCATTTGGCATTGATAGTAGCTTGCTGAGGTGGATGAAGATCTGCAGCAGAAGCTTCGAGATGCCTTGGAGGAGGCACCCGCTCAAAGTCGATCCGGCCATGACCCCCAAAACGAGCCATGCAGGTTCACCACTTGCGTGATCGCGTGAAGAAGCTTTGTGATGAGGTGGAGCAGGCAGTGCAACACGATTCTAGACGCATCACAGCTCAACCGCACATAGTTGATGTATGATCCGCCCGTTTCGTAGCAGGTGCCGGCGATACCATGTGCTGTCGCTGAACCAAGACCACATACGGAGCTCGAAAGAGCAAGTGTCGCGGGCTAAATTGTTTAGCTCGCCAGGCAGGCTTGACAGCGCAGAGATCCTAGCTGCTCTCCGACGTCCCGACTGCATGACACCATGGGTTGTGCTGTGCTCAGGAGTGTCACTCAAGACTGCAGCAGCTGCTAGCAGGCTGCGAGGAGGCCCGCACTCTGGAAGCAGACAGCACGCGCGACCCAAGCCGGTGCCCAGCGCCGTCTTCGTCACATCGAAGCTTCTCTTGCGCCCGAAGCAAGACCGGCGAGGGCCAAGTCATGGTTTCGATGAGCAAACGTCTGCCGCTGTGGTCTAGGGTGCAAATCGTCGAACTCCAGAAAGCGAACTGTTGATCAATCCTGGGTCTTCACAAGACAAACGTTGAGGAACCACATGCCGATTTATATGCGACCGGAAGACCCCTCCGAATCCTCCGAGTGGCCGTGACATTTGCTTACAGCAATGGAAGCAGCCTCGAACTTTTGGACCTGGCAGGCTTTTGGTCCTTTTCGAAGGCAGGCATTGGAGCAGCAGTCTCAGCCGGATCGCAAGGCTGAGCGTCAAAGGTCTGGACCTTACTTGTAGTTCCTTTGGGCCGGACCGAAGCGTTTGTTGAACCCGTAGCAAGATAAAGCGAGGCGTCTCGCTGCAGAGTCAGCTGCTCAGCCTGTTCTCTCCCACACCAATTCGTTCTGGGTTTGATTTTTTCACAACTGATTGCCCAACTTCACAGGAGGAGTGAGCTTCGCGACTTGGAGCAGGACAGATGTCGTTCGACGGACAATGTCGTCTTAACGGTCGCTGCATTCCATCCTAATTCGAGCTGTGAAGGCATAGGCATCAACACAAATTTGATTGCATCTAAAATTCACGAGCATCTTAAAATTTTGATAAACATCTTGATCAATCCTAAACCCTCCATGCAAATTTGTCTTGATGCCTATCAAATTATTTTTTGATGGCTACCGTCTAAAGCCTAAACCCTCTAATCAATTTTTTTTACATGCTTATCACTTTTTTGTTGATGCCTACCGTGGTAAATTTTTTGAGGCTCAGCAACTTTTTTTGATGTGTCACCCAAAAGCTGTGAAGGAGCTCCGGTTGGCCCATCTGCAGTCGATGCTGCCGCCTGAGTTCCGTAAAGTTAAGAGAAGAAACGTGATGTCATCAGCAACCCAAGCAGGCGCAAGGACCTGCAACTTGGCAGTGAGCCATCAGGCCAGCGCACAAGAGCATGCCAACCAGCAATGTGACACGCTAGCATGGTCTGGAGCGTGTCGGAGGTCTTGCGAAGACTGAGCAAGACGACTCTCAAAGTGGGCTCGTCGATGAGCTAGGCTAGTCCGCTCCATCGTGCAAGTCTGCACATGCACACACACACACAAACACAAACACACACACACACACGCACACACACACACACACAAACACACACACAAGCACACACACA